CATTTTGGTCACCAACCATGATTCCAAGCATGGTTTGGAGTTGATGTTTCGGATCTAGGACTTTAGAGGGGTTACAAGGCAGAAAGGAGTGGCTCTTGCACTCAAAGAAGGCCCCATGCATTGAAAGAGCTTGTTTAAGGACATTTTGAGCTCAAAGTTGATGGGTTTTGGCCATATGAACATTCCTATGTGCACATATAAACCCTAATGCTTGGATCTAGGTTTCTCTAATTGAACATTCATGAATTCAAGACTTATAATGGTTATTCTAGCATAATAACAAAGAGAAAACAGAGTTATAAGTTTACCTTGAATCACTTGTTTGATCTTCTTGTTCTTGGAGCTTTAGAGTCATAATTATCACTCCTCTAATGGCTTACAAACACCAACTAGCAAGAGGATGATTTGAGAGAGTGGGGAAGGACTTAGAAATCGGCCAGGGTTTCTCTAGCAACAAGAGTTCCGATTTCCATGACCCCAAGGGTCTATTTATACTTGTAAGGCTCCTAGGGTTTTACCTTTAAACCCTAATTGGATAACTTAAGCCGTAAGCAATCCTAATCCCTTCATGATAACCCTTGGACCATTTTAGGTCTATCCTAAGCCATAAAATCGTCCACCATATTATCCATAAGGAATTATAGCCTAAAGTATAACTATCACACATTTGACAGTTTAAGCCCTTCTATTTAATTAATATCTTTAAGTCACCAAATTAATTCCTAAATAATTTATGACTTATATTAATCAAATAATATTATTATACCATGTAATATTTCAGCTCTCATTGTAAATCATCCTATCAAGTTGCTATGGTAAAGGCAACCCAAAAGGACCATGCTCAATCGAGTCAAGTACTTACCAAATATAGTTGCAGCCTTAGACACTATTCCAACAGTCTCCCACTTGGATAAGTCTAGTAACTATATACACCGATTAGCAATCGTAGCTCTCAAAGACGTTGTTAAACTCTGATCTAATCAATCTTGTCCTTTAGATAAGGGATCGTACAGTCCTCTGTATAGATATCATGCAGACATTCTCATGGAAACAATTGTCTAGCATTTGGTTTCTCGATTTCAGATTTATTTGACATAGAACTTAATCGAACACATCAATTCAGTTCTGACCGGGCCCGACACATAAGTCAAATCAAATCATCGAGCGGCCGAGATATCGCTTTTACCTTCTTAGTATAAAAGTAACAGATAAACTTCGACTTATATGCATTTACTTATTCATTAACCAACTATACACAACAATTTGTTTTATAACATCAAGTTACTGATGCGGGTTCGCACCATCAATGTACATCCAATTAACAAATAACAAACCATATATCTAGGTTTTAAGACCATATGATATTATCGTCTTGCAATCACCCTTTTTGTCATACTCCATAAGGTGATTCCAGCAAGCACGGGTTTGTTCCAATGCTCAAAACCAGTTCATAAGCACTCATGAACGTTGTAGCAACCTTTTGCTATGTCTAATACCATTTAGACAATCTACACACCAATTCATGACAATCTTCACTCATACCTACTTCCAACATATGAACGATTGTGGACAATTTGAATAATTCGATTATTCTTAATAAACTCAATTATTCTGGAAGTCAAAACATGCAAAGTGAAACAATAGTTAAACAATTAACATAAGACAGTAACATTACTCATAAATAATACACCTTTATTTAATCATCAAATGTTAATTACATTTATCTATTATACGTTTCTAATACTATGTAATCTATACTAATATCATCCTTCAGCCCAATGCTCCTAGCATGTTGCAAGTGCTTAACCCTGCTCAGTCCCTTCGTAAGCGGGTCTGCTAGGTTATCTTATGATGATATCCTCTTCACCACGAGTTGTCCTTCTTCTACACGATGTCTTATAAAATGATATTTTCTGTCGATATATCGATATCTACCATGATCCCTTGGTTCCTTGGTCAAGGCAACCGCTCCTTCATTATCACAGAAAATCTCCATGGGCTCCTTTACGGTAGGTACAACTCCAAGATCACCAATGAAGTTCTTTAAACCATATAAGCTACCAGGTTACCTTTCATACTTCATGACTTTTTACTAAAAAATGGGAAGCCACAAATATACTGTAATATATATTGGCTCAACTAAACATTTGGGCACTCTACAAATCATCCCATCCAATACTAGCACTAATTGTAATTAGCTAAGTTTTCTTAACTTAAACTAAAATCTCAAGTTTATATGAATGCAAAATTTGAAGAAAAAAAATCAAATGCCTTCTTTTTTTCTTAATGCAATTGCCTTTTTTAATGCAATATATTCCCTACCCCACACTTATTTCATGCAATGTCCTCATTTCATACTATGAAATAAATCATAAAATTAAAAAGACGGATAAAAAGGAATAGACACCCATGTGATAGAAGATGCATCTCGAATCATGTGGATATGTGTAAGAAAGACATTTTGCTTAAAGTGTGGAAACAAAAGTGGTATGTAGAATGGCAGCCTCTTTTCATGATGAAAAACTCCCCCGCGACATAGGAAAATGTCAACCATGTCGTGGCAGTCGGGATAATACTTCGTCACCGTGTCAAAATAAAATTACATTGTGTGGGAATAGCTCATCCATGCTATGAAAAACAAGGATGATTAGAAATGCCACTCATTGAGATAATAATCTTTCTAAATACCCCTCCTTCACGTATTAGAGACTTGGAAACTTAGACTTCAGAAGGTATGTTATCAGACTCGAAGAACAGACTCAAAAAGGCACCACCTCATGATGAAATGGAACACGACGTGTTGACATTAATAGAAAAAAAAATTGTGTTCTTACCGCGAAAACACGGCGTGGTGGAGAGTACCACGATGTGTTGGTTGAAAAATCGTCCAAAACTACGTAAAAATGATTAGATTCATGAACTAGACGAGAGCACCAACTACTAAACATATTACTTGGACATGACTCTTCACTTTTTGACACAAAAGAACACCCAAAAGTACTCTAATTTCGCCTATCTCTCCACTTCCTAATCTTTCTCTATAAAGAACCTCTATTTGCCAAAAATATCCTCACGCAAAGTCGAACAATTCCCTGAAACTAAAGAAAAGTAATAAAACTAGGAAATATTGTTTGACAACCAAAACCAAACATAAATATCCAACAAACTAAAGAAAACAAACCAAACACACAAAAATAAAAACAAAAAGGAAACAAGTCTTGAAAACATTTAAACCAAAGGATAAAAACTCTCAATCTTCATCATCTTCATCTTGGCCTCCTCCACTGCCTCCTGCACTACCTTGCTACTCTTGCCATAGCTCCTCCCAACTAGGCACATATGGGTGTAATGCAGGAAAATGATCGAGTCTGGAAAAGTGCATGTAACATCGTTAAATTTCAAACAATTTTTCATTTAATTTTAATAAAACATTTCATTTCCAAATCATCCCAAAATCATATATCCAATATTTTCACCAAAAACATAATACAAAATCCATATCCCAAGATCTCAAAAAAAACATGTCATCTACAAGTGTGAACTGATCAAGTGACGCCTTCCCGTGATCATCACTGGTACCTGAAACACATAACACACAAACAGTAAGCATAAATGCTTAGTGAGTTCCCCAAAATACCACATACAAAACATACGTCTTTATAGGCCATAACTCTATAGGATCTTCCGATCCAAGTGTCTCAGGGGATTTCCATCCCATAATTTTGTTGACCTTCCGGCCCATACTCTATTGATCTTCCGGTCCATATCATCATACTCATATCATAACATATCACATATATAACATGCATCACATAAACATCATACACATAAGACCTTCCGGTCACACCTAGTTACCCCATCGGGTATGGCATAGTGAGAAGACTCACCTCGCTGATGTCGGATAATCACTCGAGCTCGATTCCCCGATGTATCGCCTCCTATATCATAAGTATATCTCTAATTAATACCTTCCTGACTTAGTTTGACTAGCACTATTAAGTTAACTCTAGTCAACTCTAGTCAATGTTGGTCAACGTTCAACCTTTGACCCGACTCATCGAGTCTTGCATAGACTCGTCGAGTCCATATGTGAACTCAAGTCCTTTGAATCCCTTCTGACTCACCGAGTCACTCACCCAACTCGGCGAGTCAGCCACTGATCTGAATCACGGAACAACCCGCTCCGACTCGTCGAGTCTGCTCATGGACTCGGTGAGTTTGTTTCATGCACAACCTCAAACAACCCTATGAGGTCAGATCTATTCCTCTAATCCTTAGATCTAACCTTTCCAAGCTCAATAACCATGTAAAAGTCTCTATCTTAATGTACATGCAACATCTATATGACCATGTATGATGATTTAGCCCCAAATACCACAACTCAAGGTCATAACCTCCATTACTCTCCATAAAGCTTGATGAGTGAGGCTCTCTGGATCTCTATGGATCCAGATCCAAAGCCTCATCACCAGAAAGTGACTATTGGACATCAAATCAACCTAACAAAGGGCACAAGAAACACTAAATCCATATATACTTCATAAAACAGGTAATGAGCCGAGTTAATACCTCAAATGCGATGATCTTGGCTTCAAATCCACATAATAGCAACCTCCTTTGCTTCCTCTTGGTTAGGACCTCCTTCTTCTTGCTAAACAACACCACAAAGGTCAATAATGGCTTCCTTTCTCTCTCAAAACGCTCAAGCACTCTAGGGTTTCTCTCTATGGACTGGTAGCCGCAATTGAAGGTCATAAGGGCCGTTAAATAGGTACCAAACCCGAGAAATTAGGGTTTCTTTTGTCAGCTCTGACTCGGCGAGTCACTCACCTGACTCGTCGAGTCCCATCATTAACCACATCATTCAGTTGCGACCATACTCGACGAGTCTGAGCACCAACTCGTCGAGTCACCCTACATAAATAAATAATTACAACATAAATCAATATACCTGGGAAACTGGGTGTTACAGTGCAATTGTTGCATCATATAGTCAAGGGTCATGTTGGTGTAATTCCCCTTCCATGCCAAGTTGTCAATCTTCTTTGCGCAACACTATAAGGGTCCATGGACATCTCATCCTCGGTCGATATGACTGGCAGCTCATCTCCTTCAGGTCCCCTTGCTAGCTGTCTCACCCGCTTCCCAGGTCGGTCACGAGGAGTGTCATTAGGAATAGTAAAAACTACCCATCACATGATCTACAATGATAGTTTCCCTTTTGTATAGGTGAGTAGAGAATGGTTTCTGTGGCTCCACCGTAAAAACATGGCCTCGCGTTTATCAAGAACTCCAAACGAACGCACAAGCCACATAATCAGCATACAACCATAGGAAGGAGACCGTTGCCTATCCTTGCCCACCCGTTCCATAATAAAATCCGCCAAAAGGAAGGGTAAGTCGACATAAGCATCAGAAGATATAAGAGCCCATAAGAAAAACATGTTCATAGTCGGGCACTTATCCCCCTCCTGGCGCTGATTGGTGGTGTTCGTGATGAGGCAGTGTAATAGGTGATGTAAAGGTGAGTGGATGTCACTTTCTTGTGTAGTGCCTTTTTTGTAAGCTTCATACGCAATTTCATTCCAGTGTGCCTATGCCTTAAACCCCTTGGTAATCTACACACAACCAACAATATATTTAAGATAAGCTTCAGAATGGACCTCAGACGGAAGATAAACCTCCTTCCTTAAAGCAAAATCAGCAAGGCTTAGGGTGCGCCTTTGTCTGCCCAAGCAGAAAGTGAGGTTGTTTTCATCATAAATACCATCCTTCCTCTTGAAGGACACACTGGCCAAGAACTCAACAACCAATTCCTTCTAGACAACTTCTTGAATATGGAAAATACGCCTCCAACCCATGAAAATGAAGCTCCCATGAAATCCATCGAATGAATTGACTAGATAAGGCTTAATTCCTTCCATCAATCTAGTCTGACCAAGCCATTTCCAATCCACTATCTCGGGCACATAAACTTTTGTTGTTTCATCCATTCTAGCTTTCTATTCCATCTTGCAAGAATTTGGCACCAACGTTCCTTGGAAAAGTGTACCACTGGAAGTCGGGGCGATTCCCAGGTTGGTTACGTCGTAAACAGCTAGCCATGGCTTCAAAACAAACACAAACAACATAGAAAGAAACCATGTGCAAAATTAAAATTAGAACAAAACAAATTAAGTGCTATAAATCTTCACCAGGACGACTCGTCGTGGTCGACGAACTGACGGGTTCCTAACATACAGTCGATCAAGAATCCTCACTAAATGAACTCAAATCAACTTCAGGGTTCGTTCTATGGATAATAATAAGTAGAATAGAAACAAACTCAAAGGAAAACATCAATAATCGGGTCCGATTTTTTGTAGAAATCAGAACCCTAAGTTCTAAGATCGGACCCATATCTTTTCTAATCAGCAAATATACACCATATACTAGTATGTATTCGACTATTAGTAACGAAAGCACACCAAAATCATATCTTTTTGTTGAAATCATGAAGAAATTGAAGGAAAAGGAGGAAGTTCTTCGTGGGGGAGGCTGGCACGGTGAAAGAGAAAGGGTGGAAAGTAAAAACTGAGTAGTGTTTTTACTGTGAAGTATAGCCTAATTTGATCGGGTCAAAAACTTCACCACATTGTGGTGAGGGCACCAGGTTGTGGTGTCGCATAAAAAATCGTAATTTCGTGTTCCGATCGATCTGCCACCGCATGGTTATTTTCACCACCTCGTGGTAAATAAAAATAATTCAGTATGGTCAAATTTTTTAAAATTATCCATCCACACTCGTCTTATGTCATTCCCCACTTCAAACTCCATAAAAATTAGAAGAATGAGAGAGTAAAAATAAAACGTAAATAAAACAAAATAAAATAAAAGTAAAAGGAAATAAAAGAAAATGAAAACACAAAATTACAGGTTACCTCCTGCGAGTGCTTCCTTTTGGGGAGTCATAAGTCGGAATCCTTCCCAACTACGTTGATTCAGCTAGTGAGAGTTCCAAAGTTTTATTTTCTCTTTCTTCAATAGGCATACGTTCCTCATACTCTATGTTCATTAACTTTGAAGCGAGTTCCATTTCATGATATTAGCTTAATGGCACCACGTGGGAAAACTTGTTTGGTAATGAAAGGTTCGTCCCACCTGGTTTGTAATTTTCCAGGAAAAAGCTTTGACTTTGAATTTAAAAGTAGCACTTTCTGACCTTCATGAAAATCCTTTCGCCCTTTTAACCTTGCATTATGCCATTTCTTTGTTTTATCCTTATAAATCAAGGATCTAGTGTATGCTTCATTCCTCAATTCCTTAAGCACATTTATTTGCACTAACCGATTGGTACGAAGTTCGGCCAAATCAAAGCTACAAGACTTCAAAGCCCAAAATGCTTTATGTTCAATTTCAACCAGCAAGTGACAACTTTTTCCATATACTAACCTATATGGTGTAGTAACAATCGGTGTTTTAAAATCCGTGCGAAATGCCCAAAGTGCATCATCAAGCTTTTTCGACCACTCCTTTCTATTACCCCCAACCGATCACTCCAATATTCGTTTTAATGCCCGATTTGTAACCTTGGTTTGCCCACTTGTGTTGTGGATGATATGATGTTGAAAATCTATGGTGTATAACATATTTTTGTAAGACCTTAGCAAATTGATCGTTTGTGAAGTGGGTACCTCAATCACTAATAAGAGCTTTTGGAACGCCAAATCTTGAGAATAGCTTTTTAAGAAAACAAACCACTACCCGAGTATCATTAGTAGTTAATGCATGTACCTCCGCCCATTTAGAAATGTAGTCGACTGCCACTAATATATACTTATTCCCTGTTAAAGTTGGAAAAGATCCCATGAAGTCAATTCCCTAAACATCAAATATCTCACAAACTTGGATGCTATTTTGGGGTATCTCGTTTCATGATGAAATATTTCCTGATCTCTGAAACAAATCACACTCTTTAATAAATTTAGTAGCATCCTTGAAAATAGTGGGCCAGTAAAACCCAGTATCAAAGACCTTTTTTGTTATGTATTGTGATCCATGGTGTCCTCCCATGGGCCCATTATGGAAATGTTTCAAGATTTCAAGACTTTCTTTCCCGAACACACATCTTCTTATTATTCTGTTGGCGCAACTTCGAAAGAGGTATGCCTCATCCCAAAAGTAATACTTGATTTCAGAAAATAGTTTCTTCTTTTGTTGACGTGTCAATTCTTTTGAAGATAATCACTTTCTAAATAGTTAGCTATGTCCGCATACCAAGGTACCTCTCCTACTATAACCATAAGACATTCCTAAGAAAAATCATCTACAATCTTGTTTTCTTCCAATTCTTCCAAATTCGGGTTTTTAAGTCTAGATAAATGATCGGCAACCACGTTCTCCATTCCTATTTTATCTCTAATTTCAATGTCAAATTCTTGCAAAAGAAGTACCCAGCGTATTAATCTTGGTTTGGCATCATACTTAAGAGCAGAATGGTCGGTGAGAACAATGGTTTTGGATAGGACTAGATTTGGGCGGAATTTATCAAAAGCAAAGACCACCGCGAGCAGCTCCTTCTCAGTACTAGTGTAATTCTCTTGGGTCAGTTTTAGAGCTTTGCTTACATAGTATATAGGTTGAAAATATTTTTCAACCCTTTGTCCCAAAACAGCTCCTACTGCATAGTTACTAGCATCACACATCAGCTCAAAAGGAAGACTCCAATTCGGGGCTATCATAATAGGGGTATTAGTTAACTTTTCTTTCAACAATTGAAAGGCTTCATGAAATTCCTTAGAAAAGTCAAACGGGGCATCCTTTAAAAGAATTTGATTCAATGACCTTGTGATATTCAAAAAATATTTGATGATTCGGCAGTAAAATCCTGCATGGCTTAGAAAACTCCTCACCCCTTTTACATTAGTTGGAAGCGGTAATTTAGCTATTATGTCAACTTTCACTCGATCCACCTCTATCCACAATTTTGAGACTTTGTGTCCCAACACAATTCCTTCCTTTACTGTAAAGTGGCACTTTTCCCAATTTAAAACTGGATTGGTCTTTTCACATCTTGCTAGCATTAAGTCTAAGTTTGACAAACAATCTTCAAAACAGTACCAAAAAACCGAGAAGTCATCCATGAAAACCTCCATAAATTTCTTGATCATGTCATGGAAGATAGCCATAATGCACCTTTGGAAAGTATTCAGTGTGTTGCATAACCCAAATGGCAAGTGTCTATATGCAAAAGTCCCACTTGGTCAAGTAAAAGTGGTCTTTTCTTGGTCTTGTAGATCAATTGGAATTTGAAAATAGCTAGAAAACAATAGTAAATATGACTAGATAGCCTTTCCAGCATTCGATCGATAAATGGTAAAAGTGATCCTTGCATGTAACATCATTAAGTTTTTGATAGTTGATGCAAACGCGCCAACGGTTACCGTTCTTGTTGGGATTAGCTCATTGTCTTCGTTAGTAACCACCATCATTCCCCCTTTCTTTGGCACTACGTGTACCAGACTTACCCATGGGCTATCGGATATTGAATATATGATGTCGGCATCTAAAAGTTTTAACACTTCTTTTTTCACTACTTCTTGCATATATGGGTTGAGCCTTCTTTGACATTGTACTATGGGCTTAGCTCCTTCTTCTAGATTGATCTTATGTGAACAATAGGCAGGACTAATGCCCTTAATATTGGTTATCTTCCATGCTATGGCACTTTTTCTTTTCTTTAATACTATAATTGGCTTTCTTTTTCATGTTTGGTTAGATCGGATGCTATAATAACTGGCTTTTGTTGTCCTTATTCCAAAAACGCATACTCCAAATGTTCAGGCAAAATCTTCTACTTAATTTTTGGACATGCATGTCCAATGCCCAAAAAGAGGGAAATAAGCCCTAAAACCCTTGCATGGTGTCCTTGCTCAACCAAAAGCCAGATCTAGCCCACCTTGGGACCACTTTGCTCTGCAGATTCATAAAGTTGCAATCTTTATGAATCATATGCATGCATTCAAGAAGAAGGGTAGGAAATGAAGAGTTAATTCAAGATCTCTTCATATAATTTGATAAAAATCAAGTCTTGAAGACTTACAGCAGTCCACAAGATGACTAAGCTCAAGGATGGGTGCTTGGTTTGTTGGATCTTCTCACTATCTCCTTCTTCTTAAGCTACAAAGGTCACTCTAGCTCATAAAGTGGAAGAGAATGGGGATTAGGGTTAGAACAGACGTTCTTAGGGTTTAGAGGTTGATGAGAGGTCAGCCTTAAGGCTCATAAGGAGATTATATAGGGTGCAAACCATAAAATTAGTGTTTTGTCATTACAGTGCCAACTCGTCGAGTTGGCCTTCCAACTCGCCGAGTAGGGTGTAGACTCCGCGTTGTTCAAATGCCCTCTACTCGCCAATTTGGACTCCTAACTCGCCAAGTCCACACACCAAAACCGTAAAACTTAATTAAATTAAGTAATACCTAGAATAGGTTTTACACCTAGACCCTTTTCAAGTACATCATCAATAACATCAACTAAAATAGCCATGTAATCACTTATTCTTGAATCTTGAATTGCTTTATTCACTCCAAAAGTGACTACGTCTTGTCCAACTCGAAGAGTGAGTTTGGACTCTCTAATATCCACCAAGGCTCGGGGCAGTGCTTAAGAAGGGCCTTCCAATGATGATTGGGACTTGTTCGTCTTCCTCCATGTCTAAAACAATGAAATTTGTGGGAAACACAAATTTGTCAACTTTTGCTATCAATTCGTCACATATTCCTCTTGGAAAGGTCATGGTCTTATTAGCTAAATGGATGACCATGCAGACCGGTCTTGGTTTGGGGAGATCGAGCTTCTTGAAGAATGAGTAGGGCATCAATTTGACACTTGCTTCTGACTCAGATAGAGAATGACTAGTTTCTAGGTTCCCGAATTGGCATGGTAAAGTTATGCTTCCTGGATCACCCATGTTATTTGGTAACATGTTTAGCATTGCAGCATAGCAAGTCTCATTTAGCACCACCTTAGATAATCCTTCCATTTTCTTATGGTTTGTTAAGAGGCCCTTGAGAAACTTGGCATATTTTGGCATCTCGGCTAATGCTTCAAGGAGTGGAATGTTG